GACTCGGAAGGGTAAGACCTCTAGTCCTGACTACTTCACCTAGAAACAAGCTAGGGCCCGCCCTTCCGTCGAACCGAGTTGCCAGCTCCGCTTCGCTGCGCCAGCAACTCGGTTCGACAGGGGGCCGGCCCAGCTTGGCCTGCCGGCGGCCTTTTCTCGGGCCTTCGGCCCTCGCATCAGACCCAACTTGGCCAGTCGAAGGCCCGGGCCTTCGGCCCGCTCGCATCACACACACCGTGAGCGGGTAAAGCAAAGTTATCGATGTACCATCGTGACTTAGGCCCGCTCTTCTATTCACAATATGCAATAGTCCTTACACTTTTTACTCCAACTGTCCTTAGAATATGCCCGTTTCATTTGTCTCTTCGCCCTCATTCCGAAAATACCCATATTTGCCATGCTACTGCAACTCCTTGCAATAGAGGCACAGCAGGAGCGCAAAACGAGTCCGTCGCACTTTTTCCCATAACTCATGAAGGCGGGCTCCTGGACCCCCCTTCCGACCCCTCGTTGAAGAGGTCTTGCCAAGACCTATCCAAAACTTAAGTAAAAATTTTCAGTCGGTCGACCCCCTTTTTTCAAGATCCTGATGTGACTAATAGACGAAGTCGGGCTCCTGGACCCCCTTTCCGACCCCTCGTTGAAAAGGTCTTGCTGAGACCAATCGAAATCTGCAATAAATTTTTTTAGTCGGTCGACCCCCTTTTTTGAAGATCCTGATCTGGCCAACTTGTAAAAGCGGCCGATGGGGTCGGGACCAGGTCCATTCGTCTTGTCTCGTCGCCCCGATTCCAAAAATACCCCTATATGCCCTACTAGCACCAATAATGGCGGAAATCCCCCTCCCGCTCATGTAAACCATGATGCACCTGCAGCAGCCCTTGTGCGACCCGGACGGGATTTGCACCACCGGATTATTTGTTTGGACGGTACTCCTAAAGTACCCTCCAAATCTGGTTACTCTAGCTCAACTCCTTCCTTGTACACAGACGCCAACAACAACAACAACAACAACAACAACAACAACAACAACACACAGACACAAAGGCAAATGCATAGGCCCTCCCCCTATTTTTTGAATAGAAGGGCGGGCCAAAAATGGCCTTCATGCACACGGCCTCATCAGAGTGTCTCCGCTCTGAACTGGACCTCTGGATGGTCCCTCCCACACAAACAGCCCTTGAATCTTCTCACTGGGTTCCCTACAAGCCCCTGACCACCCTTGATGCCTCCAACACGGTCGAATTTTCCATACCTGGAGTTGGGCATGAATATCTAGACCCTGCACACACTCTTCTGTACATCAAAGCCAAAATTGTCAAGGCTGATGGCACAGATTTCGTTGCAAACGATCAGAATGACGCAGCCCCTGTCAATTATCCCCTACACGCTCTTTGGAGCCAAGTTGATGTGAGTCTCAATCAAAAAGTCATTAGTCATTCAAGCATGACCTACGCTTATAGAGCCTACATAGAGTCTCTCATGAATTATGACGCCTCGGCTAAAAAGTCACACATGACACAGAGAATGTGGTACGAGGACACACCTGGTCATTTCGATTCACTCGATGGCCGAGAAAACCTTGGACTGGCCTGGCGACGATCACGTACATCCAACAGTCGTCAATTTGAACTCATGGGTCCTCTTCACATTGATTTCTTTAATCAAGATCATTTCTTGCTGAACAATGTGGAAATGAGAATTAAGCTCATTCGCAACCGAGATGCCTTTACTCTCATGTCTACGGCTGGCACAGAGCGCATCAAACTTTTAGACGCGACTCTTTACATCCGAAAAGTAGCCATTTCCCCTTCCATTATGTTGGCTCACGCCCAGGCCCTTGAAAAAGCTCCTGCCAAGTACCCAGTCAACAGAGTAGATATCAAGACAGTCACCATCACACAGGGACTGCGAGACAAAAATTTGGACAATCTTTTTATGAACCAACTCCCCCAAAGAATCATTATTGGCTTTGTAGACAATCGAGCCTTCAATGGAGATTACGTCCGTAACGGTTTTAATTTCCAACATTTTAATATCAATTACCTGAGTCTCATGGTGGATGGCCACCCCGTCCCCTCCCAACCCCTTACCCCTAACTTTGGCAGTGGCCTGTACATGGAATGCTACAACACCCTTTTCTGTGGAACAGGAATACACTGGAAAGACGAAGGGAACAATATTAGTTACTCAGATTACCCTGGAGGAAACACTCTCTTCTGTTTCGATTTGTCTCCTGACCTTTCGGCCAGCGAGCCCCACTGGAATCTTCAGAAGCAAGGCACTCTTAGACTGGAACTCAAGTTCGCAGAGCCTCTTGCCCAACCTATAAATTGCATTGTGTATGCTGAATTCCAAAATCTGATTGAGATCGACAAACACCGAAACGTCGTCGTTGATTACAACGTCTGAAATGGACGGACTCACATTGGACACGCTCATGAAAAAAGATAAACATGTTGCCCCCTTTTTTGAAGGCGTCTTTGCCTCGGACACGCTCCCCCGACATCTCCACAAACGGCCAGCATTACTCATTGCTAACACGGATCCTATTTCAAAACCAGGTCAGCACTGGGTTGCTTTTTACATTGGTGAAAATGGGGAGGGAGAGTATTGGGACTCGTACGGCATGCCTCCTCTGGTTCCAAACCACAAAAAATTCATAAACAGGCTCTGTAAGAAATGGACATATAATCATACTAGTCTTCAGGCTATTGAGTCAGAAGTGTGTGGCGAGTATTGCGTGCTGTACTTAGTTCACAGAGCCCATGGCATCTCGCTGCATCGTTTTCTAAAAAAGTTATTTACTTCTGATCCAGAAAAAAACGATCAAGTCGTACGACGTCTTTTCAAACGGATGTTTGGATACAAAAAAACCTGCATCTTTCCCTCAGACTCAAACGTACAACTCAGTAGCAAACGAAAAATTTAAACAAAAAAAATTTCAAAGAAAAAAATTTAAAAAAAAATTTAAAGAAAAAAATTTAAAAAATTTTAAAAGAAAAAAATTTAAAAGAAAAAAAATTTAAAAGAAAAAAATTTAAAAGAAAAAAATTTAAAAGAAAAAAATTTAAAAGAAAAAAATTTAAAAGAAAAAAATTTTAAAAGAAAAAAATTTAAAAGAAAAAAATTTTTAAAGAAAAAAAATTTGAAACAAGATTTAACTTGCACAGTTAGACTTGTTCGGAGACGGTATAAAAGGGCGGCGCACAGAGCACCTATCATCATTTGACACGATGGAGTCGCTCAGATTCATGCTCAACTACTGGAACCAGAAGGAGCTGGTCGCCTCTCAAGCCACAGACTCAGTCCAGATCTGGAAAAGAGGCTTTCTCCAAGACGAGTACAGTCTTGACGAGATAGAGGAGTTCTACCTGGAGAAGGAGTGGTTGGTCCCTAAAATCACAGACCACCTCACAGGGAAAACTCAGGAGCACCTTGGTCACTATGACCGCATGCAGTCCCACTTGATTCATTACATCATGCTGCGGGATAAGCCCTTCATTCTCATTGAGAGGGATGCCAATTTCAAGGAGGTGGATGGCGTGCCACAGTTCAGTCAGACTTATCTTGGACTGACTGCTTGGACGTCTCTCCTCAAACTTGGCATGACCGTTTTCGAAGTATTCGCTGGTCCAGCGGATGACATTGAATGGTGCTGATTTCCCCCACCTCCCCACCCCCACCCACCCCCATTCCCGGCTGCAGGGGAGATGCTGGTTAGGCCCCTGAAAAAGAGACTACATTCCTAGTTGTGTACTCCAGCCGGAATAGCTCAGACGGGAGAGCGTTACACTCTACCAAAAATGTCCTGTAAATGCCGTTAATTTATTACCAGTTTTCACTGTAGGCCAATTCACAGCGTTTACTGTGATCTGCTCACGGGATTCACTGTGATCTTGTTCGCGGTGTTCACTGTGATCTGGTCCCCAGTAAACACTGTGAGTTTGACGCCGCTGAGCACCGAAGAACTGCAAATCAGGCTCCAATTCACGGCGTTTACTGTGGCCAGATCACAGTGAACACTGTAACCGAGATCACAGTGAACGCCGTGAACTAGTTCACAGCAAAGGCCGTGAATTGAATAACAGCAAACATTGGTAATAAATTAACGGCGTTGACAGGACATTTTTTGTAGAGTGTAGACTGAAGATCTTAAGGTCCCCGGTTCGATCCCGGGTTTCGGCAGATATTTTTTCCCTCACGGCCCGGCCCGGCGCGGTTCCCCCACTCCCGGCGGCGGCGCGAACATTCAAACGCGGCGCGGAACGGTGCGGCCGCGTACAGCGCGTTCCCGGACGGTCCCACGGCACAGAGCGTTCCCGGACGGTCCCCGCTACGGCGCGGCGGACAAGACGAGACCTGCTTAGGTTGACTTAGGTTAGGCCCGCCCAAGATGGCGGCTTAGGTTGGGTTAGGCCCGCCCAAGATGGCGGCTAGGTTGGGTTAGGCCCGCCCAAGAGGGTGGCTCAGGGGGAGGGGAGGGGGATGTTACAATGGGGAATCAAAATGGCGGCTGTTACAATGGGGCATCTTTACTACTAACAAGAGTTCTTTACAAGTACGAGTATATAGGAGTGTACTAAGTGGAGTACGCTTCTAAAGCGCTTAACTTATCTATCGCACTCAGATGCGACCTTAAGAAAGCTCTCTCACCTCACAAGCTAAACCCTATAGATGTATACTTACCAATGACACTCCCATACACTCTACCAAAAATGTCCTGTCAACGCCGTTAATTTATTACCAGTTTTCACTGTAGGTTAATTCACAGCGTTTACTGTGATCTGCTCACGCGATTTACTGTGTTCTTGTTCACGGTGTTCACTGTGATCTGGTTCACAGTAAACACTGTGAGTTTGACGCCGCTGAGCACTGAAGTGCTGCAAATCAGGCTCCAATTCACGGCGTTTACTGTGGCCAGGTCACAGTGAACACTGTAACCGAGATCACAGTGAACGCCGTGAACTAGTTCACAGCAAACGCCGTGAATTGCATAACAGCAAGCATTGGTAATAAATTAACGGCGTTGACAGGACATTTTTTGTAGTGTAAGTGCAGATGCACGGAGATCGACGGAGATTCCGAACGCTATGAATATGGCACGCATGGTGCAATGCACTGAGATATCGCACCATACCTGCCACAGCCATATTGCACTGCACCTTCGTGCAATGCATTACGAAAATGGCCTATGATAATACATGGGAATGGGAAGGCATCACACTTCATGTGCTGTGCAAAAGCATCGCACCAATAGGGTACTTCGGAGGAAACCCAGACCGGAAGTCAACGGCACAACAGGAGAAACAAAAGAGCGTCGCGCGGCCGTGCTGAGCGGTGGTGGGGGACGGAATGGGCAGAGTGGGGGTAACGTGCGCGCGCCGCCTGGCCGCCTGCCCCCCCACTCCGGCGATTTCGACCCCCACCATCACCGCTCAGCACGGCCGCGCGACGCTCTGTTGTTTCTTCCGTTCTGTCGCAGACTTCCGGTCTGGGTTTCCTCCGAAGTACCCTATTCACGCTATATTCATGGCGTTCGGATTCTCAGACACTTTACGAACTAGCCATGTGCTAAAAATCAGGTCACTAGCCCGTCAACAAACGTCAATTTGCGAGATTGGCGAGACAGTTAACCACAGGTGAGGCCTTCACCGCTTCAACACGTACTGACACGTAGGATGTTAAAATATGTTTTCGAATCCAATTGAATGCCCAGGAACTCGCATGCATCGATAAATCGACGTGTGTAACTTAATTTTCGTAAATACGTTGTATTGCCCCTGGAAGGGAGGCATTTTTTCTTATGTGGCTTAGGTATACGGCAACAACCAGACCAAACTTACGTTAGACACTTTACGAACTGGCCATGTGCTAAAAATGAGGTCACTAGCCCGTCAACAAACGTCAATTCGGGCATATTTTCAGTTATGCACCCAAAAGATAGGCAGACGCCTGTACCGCCGCTCTGCAGGGGGGACCACCTGGGCTCCACCTCTGAAAATGATCCTTCGGGTTAGTACAACAACTGTACCAAGTACTCGGTATCACATTTTGCAAGGTAGTACCCACTTACCTACGGACTACTTTGTGCCGAGTGGAAATTCCTGCTTGAAAATTACGTTTATAGTGGCAAACGAAAAAATGCTCAACTTTGGAGGTGCACAGCGCCTAGACCGTTTGAGCTACAGACCTGGGCGTGTGCTCATTGGATTCAGCGGACCATTTTCTACAAGATGCAAGTTTCGGAAAGTCAAAAAAAAATTTTTTTTCCAAGTTTCCCCAAAAACTATTTAAATTATTGTAATTTTTCAACTTTTTCGCAAATATCTCAAAAACTATTGGTCGTAGAGTAAATCTGAGGGCATATTCTGGTTCCTTGTTCAATTCTACATAAGAATGCCAAATTTTAAGTTATTCGGACGAAAACTGTGCCTGTAGGACAAAATACCCAAAATGCCTGCAAAATGGGCAAAAAAACACAAAATGCACCATATCTCCGAAACGAAATTTTTTTCGGCCAAACCAAAAGTGGCCGATTTTTACTTTATATGAAGAGAACTTACCCACAAAAAATCAGAAGGATCGGACGACATCAATGTTAGGGGTGGCTTTTATTAAATAAATTTGCTCAGATTCCTGTTGACAATGCCTGCGACGGTGGAGAAGAAACGAGGCCCGTACAAGCAATGGAAGTACAATGGGGGCGAAATGCCGAAGGGTACAAGGTACTCACGTTCACGCCGCCTTTTTCCAGCAAGTGATGGTTCGGCAACCAAGAAGTAAGTCTAATTCATTTTGCCCAATGTTTAAAATGATAAAATTTTGCGATAATTAGTTTGAATTTTATGAACGGTGGGTGTGACACGTTGATCTGCACCTCAAGATTTTCCAACCATCATTGTAACCTAACCTTTCTATGTCATTTTGTTATTTTGAGTGTGTTGTTAATTTTGTGATTTGGCTTTCAGGAAGCCTCTTAAAAGACTTGTAGCCTCTGAAAATAGCTCTAAACAGTCTACTTCTAAATGTTTGCGACTAGAGAAAATCTCGTCAGTGGCTGAGACAAGCAATCATACAGCTAAAGTCATCTTGGTGGAGAAAAATTTGTCGGGAAATAATGGCACTGACCATGAAGCCAAAGTCAATTTGCCTGATAGTTCAGGCAGCGAGATCTCTGAACAGATAGTGTGTGAACCTGAGCTGCAGTTTTCTCATGGTAATTCTTCGGTGAGTACTTACACAGATACTGCCTCGTGCAAAAGATGTTTTATCTCGTTGTGGGATGTCATGAAATAATAAAATGTGTGTTTGCTTGGTCTTTTTCTTGTCATAAGTTTCTTGTTGTTTTGTGTTCTTGCTTAGGTTTCTGCTGTCAACGTTTCTTTGCCTGATGCTGAATGCGAACACCTCAACACGGAACATGTT